TGGGAAAATGAAGTAGAAGCTTGTGATGAAAATGATCTCTATGAAGATCTGGATGTGTCCTACAAGGATACTTGTGAAAGCCGTGATGAAAGTCTTAAGAAAGAGGAAGAATAGAGAAAAATGATAGCTGAATTGAAGAATGACAAGAAGAATCTTCTATGTACTGTTTCTCATCTTTAAAGTGAGGTAACTCTCTTAAATTCCGAGCTTAATAAGATGACAGATTCTTTGAGAAGAATGAAAGATGGAGTTGATATGATGGAAAAAGTTGAAGATATAAAGGTTAACCCGTCACTTGATAATCAACAAGAGAAAATATTTGTAGAAAAGTTCTTTCTTTCTGGAATTAAAAGAATGATTAACATGTCCAATCACATGTTACAACATCCTGACAGATTTAATGAAACTCTAACAAATTACACTTCTTCAACTTGGAGATGTCATTATTGTGGGGAGTATGGTCACATAAAGCCTTTTTGTTTCAAATTGTACGGAGAGAAAAAATCTTCAGATTATTCCAAGGCTAATCATATGAGCAAAAAAAGAAGTATTAAAGATAAGGATGCCAACCTTATTACTCATACTTCTTTAAGAGATTCAACAAGTGAAGACTGGTACTTTGACAATGGGTGCTCTAGACATATGACATGGGTTCATAAGTTGTTGGTGGATGTAAAATCTCATCCCACAGGTTCTCAGATTTAGTGATGGGTTTAAAGGTGAAATCAAAGAAGTTGAAAAGTTGATGTGTGTTGGTTCTCCTAGTTTAGAAGATGTTCTTTTTGTGAAAGGATTGACTGTTAATCTCATTAGCATTAGTCAATTGTGTGACCAAGGTCTGTTAGTCTACTTCTCAAAGTTAGAATGTCTAGTAAAAAATGAGAAAGATGATATTCTGATTAAGGGTGTTAGGTCTAAAGACAAATGTTATATATGAGAATCTCAAATAACTTCTTATTCTTCCACATGTTTGATAAGCAATGAAGATGAAGTAAAGTTGTGGCACCAAAAGCTTGCACACCTTAATCTAGAAAGGACGAAGGAGATCTTATCTGAATGAGCTATCAAGGGAATTCCAAATCTTAAAGTAAGGAAAATAAAGTATGTGATGAGTGTGAAATTGGAAAGCAAACTATAATGTCACACCAAATATTGCAACATCAGACTACTCCTAAAGTGATATAACTTCTTCATATGGATATAATGGGACCAATGGAAATAGAAAGCCTGGGTGGAAAGAGGTATGTCTATATGGTTATAGATGATTTTTATGGGTATACTTGGATGAAATTTCTTAGAGAAAAATCAGATGTTTTTGAAGTCTTCAAAAATCTATGTCAAAGCATTCAATAAGAGAAGAATAATGTGACTATCAAGGTTAGAAGTGAATATGAAAAGGAGTTTGAGAATGAAAAATTCTCTTAATTTTTTAATTTTGAAGGTATTAGTCATAAGTTCTCTTATTCCATCACTTCTCTGCAAAATGGAAGTGTTGAGAAAAAGACTAGAGCTATACAAGAATCAGCTAGATTCATGCTTCATGCTAAGCAATTTTCATTGGAGTTTTAGGATGAAGCTATGAATATTTCTTTCTATATTCATAACAGGTTCACTTTTAGACGAGGTACTTCAACTACTCTTTATGATTTATGGAAAGGAAGAAAGCCTACAGTCAAATATTTTCATACCTTTGGAAGTAAATGATATGTCTTAATTGATAAAGATCAAATATGTAAGAAGGACCCTATAAGGGATGAAGGGATATTTCTGGGTTACTCTTCAAGCAGGAGAGCTTATAGAGTTTTTAACTCCAGGACTAGAATGATAATGAAATCTATTAGTGTGGTAATTGATGATTCAATTACCGAGCAAAGGATGGGTGTTGAAACAATGTTGGAACATCCTGTGTGCAGAGTGATAAGAAAGTAAGGGAGGTAATCTGTGAATTCACAAGCACTGAATCAGTGAGTTCTCAAACCAACAAAGGTATCTCTATTATAGGCCGAATATATCAATCTAAGGAATTTATGTCAAGCTTCCATAATGAAAAAGACATAACTGAATTCAATAAGAAAATATCAAATTCATGTATTGTTTCTAAGCTTGCATCAAGAATGTGTGATACTGTTCAAGAAAGAAAAGTCTGGAACTACATCATTGGAATAAGTTGTTATGGTGTCCCTTACTCTTTTAGCATGAAAGAATTCAGCAAGGAAAAGTTGGATGGTAGTACTGCTGGATGTTTCTTCGTAAGAAATAATTTGATTATTGTTGAAGTTAAATATGGTGGAACAAACTTGTTGGGAGTAAAATTGGTTTGCAAAAGTGTTTGCCATAAATAGTTCTCTATGATAGATTAAAAGAGTAGAAAATTATTTGAGTTTAAGGTTTGTGTTCTCAAATATTTATTTGAGCAAAAAATTATTTATTTATCTAACAATTTTTTTTGTCTAATCCTTTTTTTGTTCATATCAGAAACAAATACAAGCAAAAGTCATAAAGAAACCTTTTTTTTTGTTGGGAGAAAAGAATTTTCTAACAATTGATTTTGCCTAGAATATCAAGGAATTGAATATCCAACATATGATCTTCATGGAGAATTAAATTTTTTCTATGTAAAAAATGTAATATTCTGGGTAAACACTGTAGTTTATAAATAAATTATTTTATTAATGTTCCGTATAAACAATGTAATGAGTTTTATTAAAAAAATAATAATAACTCATCGGTTTTCTTGATAAACCGAGATAAAAAAATGCTAATTTTTGTAAATAATAAAAGTGCAAAAGTTGAGGTTCGAACCCATGCGCTAATAAAATTATATCTCATTGTTTTAAACACTGAGGTGGTATGTTTTTACTTATCATGACGATCTTATTTATCTCGCTTCTAATGTCGAGGTAAAACACATTTCGCGTCCGGCATTAAATGCGTTATTTGTAATAATAATTGGCAGACTTATATACTTACGAACCACTAGACCAGATATCACATTCATCACCTAACAACTAAGATAACTTTTATCCAATCCTTTCATTATGCATTATAATGCAACTTGTTGAGTTTCGATGTAGTTTAAGTTTTGTCCTTGTCGAGGATTGTTGTTACTTAGAAATTCAATTATGCATTTACAAGTATTTTCAGATGTTTATCAGGTAAGGTGTATTGACACTAGAAGATATGTGTCATGATCTTGCTTATTTATAGTGTTAGTGAAATTTTGTTCGGTTAGCAATTAGATGTCACACACAATATTGAGGCAATGTGTGAGATAATATAATATAAAAAGAGTGATACACAAATAAACAAAATACAAAGAAAATAATGCAAACTATTGATAATCTAATTTAGTGCAATGTCATCTACATATGGAGGGTTGCAGCTCAAATGAAAAGAAATTCGCTAATTCAAGTAGTCCATAATACAAGATGATCTCATTTGAACTCTCCGAATTCAATGTCCTTTTCTTAATACTACCCATCAATTTCAACTAAGACTCCTCCTAAATCTGAAACCCCATCACTTTCACTTAAACACTCTCCTAAATATTTACAAAAAAATAATTATATATGAAGTGACTTAAATCACAATTACATATCAAATACTCCATACTTATAAAATAAAAAATACGCTCAAGATAAAATATTACACTAAAAAAATATGAAGAGTCTTTTAAATACAAAATACGATACTCCATTAACAATTATTCAAAAAAGTATAACATCTCTTTAAATAGAAAAAGTGGTTCAGTAGAAAAGTTCACTCGGATTTAATGAAAAATAACTTGAATTTTAAAATAGAAAAAAAAAATTCTCTATGATAAAAACAAATCTAAATCTTTTAATCAAATCTAATAAAAATATTCTTCTTTCATGAATATGATTTAACAAAATCCTCTTCGACTATATTTGGGTTAAAATATTTGTTTCCGAACACAATCTTTCCAAACTCTTGGATGAATTAAAGCATAACAAAATCATGTAATCAATGTAGAGTCGATCACAAAAGATAGAGTAGCACGCATTATAGTCAAACAGAGAAATGATGTCTCAAAACAAGTCAAGATATCTTGCTTAATAAATTGCATACAAAATGAAGAAATCACTTATTATAACAATCTTCTTTATTTAAAAATATTATTTAATAAAATCCTCTTCAACTATGTTTAAATTAAAATACATTTTCAAACGCAATTAGTGTTGAAGTGATGACTTATAGATATAATAGTGTACGTCATAGTTAAAGAGAGACAACTAAATGACTTATAACAAATCAAAACATCTTATAAAAATCAAAACATCTTATTTAACAAGTTGTTTATAAAATTAATCAACCACTTATAATAAGAGTTAGGTTTCCCTTATCTTCAGGCCCAGCCATGCAGGAGCAACAAGCTCCACAGCACATGACCCCAAATTTTATAGAGTTCCTAATTTATAAAAAGTCTAATTTTTTTATATTAAAATTAATAAATATAAAAAATATTATAAAAAATTTAATAAATTATAAAATGATATGATAAAAAATTCAATACATTAAAAAAATGAGATTGATCAAAGTAAAAATAATTATAATTAAATTTTTTTATTAATATATAATTATATTTTTATGTGTTATTTTTAATTATTATAATTATATTGTTTTTAAAAAAATTTAAACTTATTTTACGTATAATATTTTAACCATTTAAACAATGAAATAGATGAGTTACAATTTCAGAGCCCATTTTTAAATTGAATTACTTGAGATATTTTTAAAAAGAAAATGTATACTCACATTGATCTTAAAATATGGTGGTAAACAAACATTAGACAAAATTCATGTTCAAGCCCATAACCACCTCTAAAACACAACAAACACAACAATTTTAAACTCTTTCTAGAAGATCCATATGATAGGATGTTTAATGCATGTGAATGTTTGTAAAAAAAATATGAGAGTATAAATACAACATGTTTTTGTGTCCACCTTTGAATTAATTGATATCAAAGCTTACCTTTTCAACCCTGATATGGTTGATTTGCAGCATTCCATTTAGGAGCAAGATAAGTAAAATCACTTGTAGTTGTTTTTTCATGTGCATTTGCTTGTTCCCTCACTAAAACTGGAGCCAGATATGTGAAGTCCGGTTTTGGATTTATATATGCATGGGAATGTGTTTTCTCCCTCAATAAACTAGGGCCAAGATATGTAAAGTCATTGGTTGGGATCAAAACTGGTGGGTTGATTTTACCAGCTGGTGGTGGTTCTACCGTATCATCTCGGCAGCAAGGTTTCTTTTGGGGAGATATGTCCATATCTTCTTCCATTACTCTCTTGTGTGACACTTGAGTCTTCAAACTTGGTTCTGCTTCTTCTGATGATTTTACCAAGGCACTGTAGATAGGAAACGGATAATTTTGTATTGATGATTTATAAGGCTCGCGAATCGGAGACCAATCTTCAATTGGAGGATGATTTATTTGGTTTCTTTTCCAAACAACACAACCAATGAGGTAATCGTTGTTGTTGTCATTGAAGTTGAGGAATCCATGTTTTGCAAGTAGGTTGAGTATTGTGAAACTACATGGACACACATAAAGATCAACACCAGTTGTAACTCTTGCAAGCCCTACCCTTCCATCGCTTACATACTTTCTTGCAACCTGGAAAATTCATCACTTTAAATTTAATGAAGGGTTAATACTCAAATCTAGTATTGATATTTCATATACTCACCTTTTTTATTCCTTCCAATCTATCTTTTGAAGATCCTTCTTTCCAACATAGGGACACAACCTGGAATTTATTGCATGCATTACAAAAGATAAATTTTAGAACTAGTTCAACCAACATGCTGGCAATAAATAAATGAATAGAATAACCAGAATTTATTTCTTACCATCAATTCTCTATTAGGTGAGCGTTTAAGATCTTGAATGTATGTTTCAAAATCATGTAATTTGACCTTCCCTTTCACTTCAACACATTCAGTCCATTTGACATCAGGCATCTTTTCACCACTACGCAATTGAATTACACATTCAACGATTAGATACAAATAATTATTTTGTAATATTTGATGGGTCTTGTTAACAAGTGGTTCAAGGAACACTTTTTAATGATTTTAAATCAAAAAATATTATAAAAAAAGTTAATCATTTTAATTTTCAATATATTAAATATGTATATTTTCAAAAACACTAGTTAGCATTTTCTATATTTGATTACTAAGACATTAAGGTAAGAAAAGGATTTTGAGTTATAAGATATTAGCTATTTTAAATTCCTCATCACTTTTGTTGGCGTATTTATATAACCATGTGACACAATTTATATAATATTCCAAGTGGTTTATAATATTGCAAATTGTATACATATTTTGGATACATCTAATTGATATTTAGTTCTCTGTTTAATTTTCTAAGTCATTCCAATGTGACGTATATGCAATAAATATATTTGTGTACCGTAAAATGTGTTAATGTGCTATGAAAATTGTGTGTTGTCTAACGTGAAACCTGTGCTTACAATGACTACATGCTACATCGACACTAAGTCAAGTTGAGCAAGTCTATAAGTATTTTAATTTTTTACCTCTTACAAAGCATAATATCCATTACTTATCAAGTATCACGGGTGGATCAAAAGAGGATGAATATTATTTCTGTCTTTTCTACTAAATGAGGTTTGAACAATGCTTTCATGGAAGTGGTTTTAGGGGGTGATCTCCCCCTCCTCTTACAAATAAGATGGATTGTCTCAATACGATGCTCAAAATAAGGAGGGTTTTGAGACATACATCATCGTTGTATGATACTCCAACCATTTCAGTTTCAAAAGAGACTCATCACTTAGGCTCCTTTGGTGCTCTAGCTTCTCTAGTTATTCCTCTTCTAGGACGGCCTACAATATGAGGTTCAACTTCATCTATAGTTAACCTACCTTTGATACGAAGGTCTTCCAATTGACCTAAAATTGATCGATAGGTGAGAATATCCCATAATTATTGAGGGTTATCGAAGGAGTGACATTGATGGTGATTATTTACTTGGTGATCCCATCTTGTAGAGGCCAAGAAATAGAGAGTCGAATTCTAGTTCATTGTTGGGCCAGAAAACCCTCTCTTTGTTGTTGTTTTGTTCAGCTTGGTCTCAAAACAACTAGAGAGCTACGGTCTTTTGTTGCTGGAAAAGCTTTGGGCATATTTTGGGAGAATGGTTGAAGTGGTTTGTCAAGAAGAGATAGAAGAAATGTAGGGGTGGAAAAACCGGTCTGCCCCGTTAGGCATGTCCGTTTTGCTCGCAATTTAGTGGGGGGAAGGCCAAGCATTTAGGCCTGCACCCTATAATGTACCCGTCTTGCCATGTTCCATTTTTTTTGCAGGCCTTTGCAGGCACGAGAATTAACATAAATGTTTAAATTTTTAGGCTTAAAAGATGCAGTGCCCGCAGGCTTTCTTCGCCCTGCCCTCACTCTTTTGCAGGGCGGACCTAAGTTTTAGGACTTCACCCTTAAGTATGCCCGCCCCACCCTATTTTTTTGAGAGCTTTTACGGTGCATGCATAAACAGGACAGGCATGCCCGTTTTCCACTCCTAAAGAAAGGTCATATCGCAAGGCCTTTGATATCTTATCTTTTTGAATTCTAGGCAAGGATGAAGTCTTGATGTTGGGGTGCCACCAAAAGTAAAAGGAAAATCTTGAGGATTTTTTGGGCGCACTTGTTATTGAAAAGGGCATGCTTCTTTCTAAACTTGCAAGGCCGGCTAAACTCTTGATGGAAATGGTTATTGAGGTGCGAGTGTTTGGGTACCTCATTTGTTGGAAGAGAAAGTGAAGGTCTTGACTCTTGGGATAAAGAAGAGGGAAGTCATATTGATGTCAGATAGGAAGGCATTTTTTAACATAAAAACTACTCTAATAAACATGAATGAGGCTTTATATTCTTCTCATAAGATGATATGAGAGTTAAAGAAGTCCTTGAGCGAGGTTTGGGAAAGTTTGTAGAAGGCTCAAGATGAGTTGCATAAGGTGTACTCTAAAAATGTTCACTTAACTAAAGAGTATGCAAAGGCTATAGAGTTCAATTACTCTATTATGCTAGTAGCTTTTGAGAACACCTTGAAGCAGATGGAATTATTCCATCCCAGGGTGCAAATATTAAGGGAGAGTGATCATTCCATCATAAGTAGGATATAGTAGTCGCGAGAGTGATCATTCTTGGTGAGAATCCAAACTCATGGGTTGTATAGTACTTTTTGTATGATTTTGGTTAGTGTTACTTTTGGGCGGTCTTTGTTAGAATTATTTTTATGATTTGAAATGTCTTTTATTTCTTCATTTATTCGTATTACTGTTGAGGTTTTATGGCTCCCATGTTATCTTTGAGAGAATACATTGTTTTATGTTTACTTACCGTGATATTTACCTTTAAGGGATATCTCTTTGTCCCCAAGGTTAACTTCCTTGGTCATTGGCAGCTGCCATGAGGCTATGCTCGGAGCCTTTATTGGATGTCTCTGAGGAGCACATCTGGCCAAGGGTCTCGTCCTCTTCCTTTCCCCCAAGTTAGGATTTGGTTCGAGGCTAATGTGAAGGGGATTCACCTTTTGCACTATAGAGTGGCTATCTACCAAGAGGGGGTGAGCTCGAATCACCACATTTTCTTTCGAGGTTTTATGACCTTAATCGAGTTTATTTTTTCCATTGGGAAGATTACTTTAGTGATACAATCATGGTGTTATTGACATCACCCCCTTTGTCGCATTTGGCTTAAGATATCTATTGGTCTAAGGAAGACATGTATTTTACTTAATGATAAAGGAAATAATTTTGGTGAAGAATTAATTTATTTGTTGAAAGTGAAGAGATTAGTAATCTTTTACATAGATGGGTAAAAGTATATAATGAAAATGGCATAACTGTTATTTTATCAGTTTATACAATGTCTTATTTTTGAAGAATGTATTTGCATTGGAGTCTAAAAGTGATGGGTTAGCCCTTGTGTTGGGATTCTATGTTCTCATTTACCTCTATTTATCTCAAGCTTTTTGCCCCGCCTAATGTTTGAGTCGTAGTTTGCTTCCTCAATGTCACCCATTTCTCATTGAATTCGAATATATATATATATATATATATATATATATATATATATATATATATATATATATATATATATATATATATATATATATATATCACATTTTACCTTTTGTCAAAATTCGGTCTAGTGATTTAATGATGAATCACCATTGTCTTCAGGTGTCTGTTGAGGTCGTCGGTGCTAATTTTTAGCATGTCTTCCTTTTTTGATTGACCGATGTTGTTTCCAGCTAGGTTACAAAGTTTATATTGCATCGGGATCTTGACTAGTAAGCACATATAGTGACCAGTTCGTCATGCACATTTTGTTATTTCATTTTTCAGTTAGACATGGGAAGCTAATATGTTATGAGTTGTAGAAAAGGATCCCCTTAGAATGCAATTGTACACGCCTTTGCATGGGACTACCATGAACAATAATTGTATCATCATGGTATCTCTTAGTTCTCTAAAAGTGACCATGTGCTCCATAAATCCGCAAAGACGAGTCATCGTTCCATTAAAAACTTGTAGGTTAGAGCTCATATAAGGTGATATCTTACTGTTTGTTGTCCTAACTTCTTATAGAGTTCGACGAATATAATATAACACAATCTCCCCTTGTAAATGAAAATTCTCAAAATATTGAAATTGGCCATGTTTGTTGTTATAACTAGGGAAAGATATCATTTGGGATCTTGTCTACCTTATCACTATCTTTGAATTTGCGGATGGTTCTCTCAGCCTGCACTTTAGAGGTTGTTTCTTCCTTTTAATTAATTTCCATCAGCTTGACAATTTTCCTCTTAACTGATCCCTTAAACAAAGTCTTTAGATGGGGAAATCCTCTAGTGATAAAGGTGATAAATTTATATCCTCCCATGACAAAGGCTATAAATTGGTATTTCCCTCTTTGATATTTTTCCTTGTCGTTGTTTTTACCATTCCCTTCTTTGGTCTTCGTAACAACCCCAATCGTAATTTTCGGGGATGCCTTTTCTTGAATGGGAGATTGCTTCTTTTGTGGTGAGTCATCATGTTTCTTGGATCATGTGAGAGATCCTCTTATCTTTTCAAAGTCATCATTTCTACTCGCCTTTTATGTGTAGTTACTTAATCCCCCTTCTTTATCATCAATTTTGGCTCTTGTGAAAGTGGAAGAACATTGTCTTGTCGATCCCATTAGAATCTTTAAGGGGTTATATTTTTGCTTATCGGTTTATTTGAAGTAATAATTCACACATTATTGTAAAATATTCTCCCTCAATGTACTGAGGGGAATGCAAGATAAAAATAGGGCCTAGAGGCCTCAGTAGGAATCTTGATCTTTATCATTTTAGGGTTGGTTCATATCTATTTGTGTTGACTGATTATTCGTTGAATTCTGTGACCCTTTGTTCTTTTTACTTCTTCCAGTAGATTCTATTCATAGTTGTTATACATATGGGCTCTAGTGAGAATATCATGCATGCTTATGACACCTTCCAGACCCAACTTTTCAAAAAACGTGCAGCCCGCCCTCTATCTCTTTTCAAAGATCTGGCACTTTAGCCCGTCATTCGACCCTCTTACCTCCACCACCACTTTCGAGAATCAATCATTATATTCCTATAGGTTTATTTCTTCTTCTGGTGAATACTGCTTATGACAACTATAGTATATGGTTATCGCTCTTGGAATGTAAACAAAGGCATAAATTCATCACACAGTTTCTTCCCAGAGTTAATAGAACCAACATGTAAGGTTTTAATCCACATTATGGTTTCTCCCTTGAGGTTCAAGACAAAAAATTTGCATTTCACTATGCTCTTGTCGTGGTGATAGTTGAGCATGATTTCCACGTGTTCCACATGCTCGTCTAGATCCCTAGTATCATCATAATTATCCATCTTTAGTGGGTTTTCAAGAGATTTAGGGATAATATTGTCAA